CTCCCAATGCTTATTACCAATAGAAAAAGGGAAAGGGAACACCTGCCGCCACATTTGCTGCTGTCACTGAGAGAGGAGACAGTCTAAGGCAGCCTTAGCCTTTTTTCCCAGGGACCAATTATCCCTTTCCCAACACCAGCCTAGATCTGTTTATCCTACCTATTTCTAAGTAAAAAATTCTTCTCTAAACCAAATTTGCGTTAGAACACAAAGATGAGAAAATAAAGGTAAAGTAAAGGAATACATTTTATTGTAGATCATTTTTTAAAGTCAAGTAACATATGAAAATGAAAGAGTATATACACACTTACTCTAATTTTAGATTGGGGCCATGGTATTAGGAACAATTTAGAGAAAGAAAAACGATTTGAGAAAGAAAGCCATTTATCTCTCTACTTTAGTAAGCTAAAGACTCATCTAACCTATGTACAGTTAACACTTTAGGAATCTTATGAATCACACACTTTAGGAAGTGTTGGATACAGAAGAGAACTGTGGCAATGGTGACTAAGTGACAGACATTGGGTCTCCAGATATTAGTCTGCTCTATATGGAGTCCTCAATCCTAGTGTCTTCCTAATGAAGTAGGAAAAAATAAATAGCAGCCTAAACTTCATAGGATTTCTAAAAGTGGATATATATAAATATGAATCACAAACTTTTACATAAGCAAAAGCAACGTAAAATTTTATAAAGCACTATTACTCAATAGTTCTTGCATTTTCTAATATATTTTATTAGATGGATAGAAATAAATTCCAGTCATACATTCTTGGGTTCATTGGGACAAATACTTACCAGGCTATTCTTAAATACATTAAGATTAATTGTCCAACAGAGCTGCCTGAAAAAAGCCATGTGGGGTAAAAGGAAAAGGCACAGAACTAAGGGTCAGGGAAGGTTAGTTCCTGTCTCCATCATTAAGCAACTGTTAGATCCCCACCATGTCCTTCATTTAAACAATGTAGGATTTGATATTTCCAAAGTGAAGTGGCTGAACAACATAACTTTTAGCTCTAAAATATTGTCCGTTCTCATGATCACTTTTTAAACATTTATGTCTACCAAAGTGATACATACTCAAGACTGCTTTCTAAAGGTCATTCTCTAAGATAAAAAGGTCAATATAAAGATTTTCTCACTTCACTTATGGGATAAGATACAAAGAAAAGAAAAGAAAAGAAAAGGAAAGGAAAGGAAAGAAAAGAAAAGAAAAGAAAAGAAAAGAAAAGAAAAGAAAAGAAAAGAAAAGAAAAGAAAAGAAAAGAAAAGAAAAGAAAAGAAAAAAACACAACACAACTATTGGTTTGTATAAAGAAAAAAATAGAGTCCGTCTGGTGTGGCTCAGTAGTTGAGCATCAACCTAAGAACCTGAAGATCACAGTTTGATTCCCAGTCAAGGTATTGGCCCAGGTTGTGGACTCGGTCTCCAGTAGGTATACAGGAGGCAGCCAATCATGATTCTTTCTCATCCTTGATGTTTCTATCTCTCTCCCCCTCTCGAGACCTTGCTCTCTGAAGTCAAAAAAAAAAAAAATTTTTTTTTCAAAAAAAATAGAGAGTGTGTTCCTCCTTTAATTGGCTTTTAATAACCAGAATTTCTATGAATCAGAATTCTATAAATCCTTTATACAGTCATTTCTTAAATCCAAATCAGTCTGGTTCTATACTATGCTCCTTTCTTTTACCTGTTTCTCTTCCAAGTTTATTATGATGACAAAAATGCTTTCTGACTTAATGTTATCATACTTTGAAAAAATGTAATGATATTTAACTTATTAGCTATCAGATGTAAGCAAGTTACCCTTCTCTTCAATGTCTAAATGTGTAAAATAAAGATAAACAATCTCTCTCAAGATTGTTGAAAAGATTCAATAATATACATGGAAGTATGGTTAACTAGCACAAAAGCACTTTCAATAAGCACTTGTGTTTTAAAGCTTTGACAATTATCTACAAAAGTTATTGAAACACCTCATTCCCTAGTTATCAGCATATTTACTCCAAAAGATGTAGCCAAAAAATAATACAAATAGAATGTTTAGATCATGCAACTGTTAAGTATTATTTTTAAAATTCTGTAAATATGTATTGAGCATTTACTATGTGCCAGGTACTATAATGCTAGGGATCCAGAATTCAGTGATTAAGATATTGATACCATCCCCAAAAAGCTCATAGTCAAAAAGCATATACAAGGAGCAGGATGAAGCAAATGTTTCATTATCTACATAGCGAAAAGAGGAAGTAGCTAAAATGTCCTGGAAAAAGGGAAAGAGTAGTTCTGTAGGCAAAGACTGGGTTTTTAAAGCCTTGCTCAGCCATTTACTAGCTCTGTGATTTGGAGCAACTGAATTTACCTCTCTGAGCTTCTTCGTAAATCTACTTTGGAGAGTCATTCTGGAGATTAGAAATAATATAGGTGAAGTACCTGGTACATAGCAGAAGTTATTTTTCATTGTTTTAGGATTTGTTTTTAATAGACCAAATTTAAGAGGTATGGTGGCTAGCATATCTTAACTAATTATTAAGCTATATATGTCACCAGAACCAAAAAGGCCATAAAGAACCCACATCAGAATGTTACCACTTCCAAAGTCCAAACTGATGTGGTTCCTAACGTGGTACACTCAACCTGCTGTTGAAACATATTTCTAATCTATTTCCTTCTCCATTTTTACCCTAACAAACAATTTTGCATATTCACACTCTACTCTTTTCTATTTATTCCCCAGGTCTACTTTAGTCCTAGGTTGGAACATTCTGTATATCCTCCAGGAAATAGCAATGTCCTATGAGCAGCTTGTGATTATTAAGATTGTATTAAGAGATAATTAGAGCTAACTCTGGACTCAAACTACTATTACTAACCTAATGGTTGACTTGAAGAACTAGAAGCTGCTAAATAATAGAATCTTAAAGTAAATATTTTAAAATATTGTAAAATCCTGCCAAGAGGTAAGTTACATTTACATTTTCTCTGTTCCCCAAAGCTATTTTTTCTAAATACTCTAACTGAAATATAACATTTGAAATATTCACAATGAACAAATATGAGGCAAAGCCATAGTTAAAAGGCAAAGCAGTCTATCCCTAAATTCTACTGAATCATAAAGTGGTATTATTATAAACTTGTCAACATAGTTTTTCAGAACTGAGAACATGTTCCTATCTTTAAAACATCATGTAAGGTCAGTTTGCTCCAAGTTAAATAATCATGTATTAAAACTGAGGACATCATGAATCAATCCAGAACTTTAACTTTATAGCTTCCACATTCAAGAAAACCAGTGTATCTAAGTCACCTTGTGGTATATAATTTTTTAAAAAAATAATCTCTATGAATATCCATATCATACCAGTTAAATTTACTCTTTCTTCTCTTAGCCAGTTTGACATAATGCATTTTGAAATACTAAAGTTCTATCAAAATTAGCTGCCTTATACATTTTCAAGAATCAAATCCTGGGCATGTTTTAAAGTTTTTTTCTCTGGGGATAAGGCACTGAGGAGTCACCAAACTGCAAAAGAATCTTTCCTGTAAATACTAATCTTTAGAGGATCTTTTTAAAATTCAGAACTCAGAATATTAGCAAGCATTTCCACATTAACAAACCCAGAAGTTTCTTGACAAAGCAAACCCAGGCATCCTGTAAAAATGAGTATTACTGCTCATTTTTACAACTATAAATTGATGTTAATTATTGTAATGTAGTTCAGTCCAATTCCCTCCCGAGAGCCTGGAGAACGAAGGGAAATGCATAAAATTATCAAATGTCACAGGAGCAGCAGCTTGAGGCCAGAAGGGGAGAGAGAGACAGACAGACAGACAAAAGGAAATAGGATAGAGAGGAGATATATGGTTGAAACTAAAATGCTTATAACCACTAGACTTTGGCCCAGACCACCTGACCCACTGTAATCTACTTAATGTCATCTATCTTTCAAAAAAAAAAAAAAAAAAGTTAACAATGGAAGCAAATTGATCCTGAGCAGGAAATGTAAGCCCTGCGTTCAATTTGAGATTTGCCAGAAAGAAAAAGAGCTCAACAGAAAAAGACCTAAACAATAAAAAGCGCTGTGCGTGTACGAGTGTGTGCGCTGGCGGGGGAAGAGGGGGTGAAGAAACGCTAACTGTGCTCAAGTCTCAGCACAGATGCTGTTCCGCGAGTAACTACCGAAGGCGGGGCCGCGGGCCCTCCCTCCGCAGGCGGGGCCGGGGGTCCTGGCTTCCCCCCGCACACACACTCCGGAGAAGGGGAAGCCCCTGAGCGCGGGGCGAACCGGTGGCGGCCGTCGGGGCGCCTGGATCCCGCGCGGAGCGGACCCAACGGAGACCTCCCCGGCCGGGACCCGGGACCCGGGACCCGGGACCATGATCTCCTGAGGAGGCGCGCCCGGGGTGGGGCGGCCAGGAGCGCTTCCTCCGCCCGGGAGGGAGGAAGCAGGCGGCGAGGGGGGAGGCGCCGCACCCCCGTCCCCTCCCCGGCGGCGGCGCATCAATTACCCGTGAGGTTCCTCAGCACCGTCCCGTGGGCCCAGAGGCTCAGGACCTGCTGCACCGACAGGTTGATCATGGAGTGGTCACCCGCCTCCGCCTTCATCTTCCCGGGGGGGCGCCCGCCGCCTTCTCCGCGGGCGCCGGGGGGCGGCGGCGGGGGCGAGGCTCCGGGGGCGGCGGCGGGTGCGCGGCTCCTCCAGGCCGCCGCCGCCGGGCAAGGCTGCGGGGCGCCGGGCCGCGCGCTGCTGCTGCTGCTGCGGCCGACGGACCTCTGCGGGGGGCCGCTCAGCGCGTCTCCTCCCAGGCAGCCCCCTCCCCGCCGCGGAGACATTGAGGACGGCGGACGGGGGAGGGGAGGGGGCCCGGCGCTGTCCCCGCGCGGCCCCCCTGCGAGGACGCGGTGCGGAGGAGGCCGCCGCCGCTCCCTCTCAGGGGCAGCGCCGCGCCGCGGGGACCGGGCGCGCTGGGAGGCCGAGGTCAAGCCGGGAGGCGGGGAGTGATGGGCAGCCGGCAGGTGCTGTCCCCGGCGGAGTCCCACGCATCACCTCCGGAGGATGCGGAGAGCCGGGATCCGGGGGAGGCTGCGGCGGCAGCCCGGGCGGCACCTGCCACCGGCCTGCCCACCCTCCAGCCGCCGACACTCGAGGAACCGCCCCCTCCACCCGCGGCCGCCGGCGAGCCGCTCGTGCGCGCGCGCACGGGTCCCCTCCTCCCTCCCTCCACCGGACCGGCTGCGCATGCTCAGTCTCCCCCTTCCCGCGACCCGCCGCCCTCGGACACCCGGCGGGCCCCGGAGTCCTCCTCCCTCCCCTCCCCGCGCGGAGCTCGCGAGGCCGACGGCGCCGGGAGCCACCGCAGTGGGGCGGGGAGAAGCGCAGTTGCGTCACTAGCGCCACCGCCGGCTCCGCTGCTGATTGGATGCTGCGAGGACCCGCCCCCGCACTCCCCGCCCCTCACCCGGGCGCGCGCTCTGGGAGCCGCAGCCCTTGACCCGAGGCGCTCCGGGCGTGCGGAGTGGCCGTGGGCGCTGAAGACGGAGCTTGAAGGGCCACCCCGGCCTAGGACGGGGGAGCAAAGGGTACCGGACTTCCTGAGACGCTTTCTGCGGTAGTTCAGATCTTTGGCTCCTCATGAAACACTTTTGATAACAAATGTTTGCATCCTTTTTTAAAAGGCTTAAACATCTCAACATTTTACATATATTAATTGAGGGTTTTTTGTGTGTGTTTTTTTGTGAGTGAGTCAGGTGAGTTGGATATATATTTTATATTTTAAAGCTACTAAATATATTTTAAATTTTAAAGCTATATATTTTATATTTTAAAACTACTAAATATATTTTAAAGCTACTAAAACGGAAAGAGACTCCCTTTCTCATTCACCCAGTCCTTCTGGCAGCAAGAACTGGGGCCTCCTGTGGTTCCAGGTTCCCAAATACTTACTGACATAGGGTTCAGCGCCATTCTCTTTTTGCATTGCAGTATTTTTTTTTTAATTTAAATTGTAAAAGCAAACATTTAAAAAAAAAAAAACTTTCGTTATTTTTTTCTCCCCTAGGACTTAAACTTTCTTCCTATTGTTTGCTACCTTTTTTCATGCCCAAACGTTAGCCTGAGGAGCTATCTAAATTCCAACTATGACAAACTAAACTCCTTAAAGTTTGAAACCTTTTAACTTGAAAAATAAAAATTAAGTTTTGGTTCATAATATAAATATGCACTAGCCACTGTCATTCCCAACTCCATCCTTTTCAATGGCTCAGCCATTGTAAATAAAAATGTACTAAAGGAAGGGAAGTTCACGCTGTAGCAAAAGCAAGTATACTCAGCAAAACCTGTAGGGTCGAATCACCTGTACAATGGTACTTTGGTGACCATTTTTCAAATAGTAATTATACATTCAGACATATTTATGTATGTATATATAGTAGATGTATTGGTGTCACAACACACAAAAAAAGGGAAATTGTTGTATCACTAATAGGAATTGGACCCAAATAAATAATGTAGAGTTTATCTTCCCCCTAGTATTTAGAATTATCTAGATCTTAATTAATTAAAGATTATAGAATATCAGCCAGGACCGGGTTTAGCTCAGTGGATAGAGCGTCGACCTGCGGACTGAAAGGTCCCGGGTTCGATTCCGGTCAAGGGCATGTACATTGGTTGCGGGCACATCCCCAGTAGGGGGTGTGCAAGAGGCAGCTGGTCGATGTTTCTTTCTCTCTTCCTCTCTGTGAAAAATCAATAAAATATATTAAAAAAAAGATAAAGATTATAGAATATCAGACTTAAAATTGGCCTTAGCATTTTTCTAATTCATTTTATTTAATAGATAAGGAAATGGATTCTGCAGAATTCAGTTTCTGGACATAGGTAACACCACTTCAGAGGCTAGTTTATGAATTCCCAGTCTATTATTTTTGTCTAGCCACCATACTGTGTTTCTTAACTTACTATTAATCCATAAATTTAAGATTCTGGATGTGGAGGTGCAGGTTATGTGATGGTGGTATTAAGACAGTATTATTAAAAATAATAATATTTTAAAATTTTTTAAAATCACGCAACCACATCCAATGAAGTGTTCATAGAAACTGAGCAACAGCTCATTAAACTCTCACATCAGGAACTTTTAGTTGGTTTGGAACAATTGGGATTCTCAGTATTGTACACTATTGTTTAAAACATAGCATTCATGCTCATTGCAGCAGTATTTACAATAGCCAAGATCTGAAAATAGCCCAAGTGCCCATCAGTAAATGAGGGGATTAAAAAAAAAAAAAAAAAAAAAAAAAAACTGGTACATTTACACAATGGAATACTACTTGGCCATATAGAAGAAGGAAATCTGACCTTTTGTGACAGGATGGATGGATCTAGAGACTATTATGCTATGTGAAATAAGCCAGTCAGAGAAAGACAAATACCATATGATCTCACTCAGATGTTGAATCTAATGAACAAAATAAACTGATGACCAAAATAGAAACAGAGGCATGGATACAGACTGACAGATGTCAGAGGGGAAGCAGGATGGGGGGACTGGATGAAGAAGGTGAAGGCATTAGAAAGACACACATATACATAACACACAGACACAGAAAACAGCGTGGTGATAGCCAGAGGGAAAGGAGGGTGAGGTGTGTGGAAGTGGGCAAAGGGGGCAGGGGGAGACTGACAGAGACTTTGCTTGGGCCAATGGGGACATGATGCAGTGTGCAGATGATGTTTTATTGAGTGTGCACTTGAAACTGGAATGGTTTTGTGAACCAATGTCACCTGAATAAATTCAATTAAAAAAAGAAAAGATTCAGAACCTGGGACAGTGCCTAGCACATGATGTTCAATAAATATTTGCTGAATGAATGTCATAGAAAGTCAGCATTTTCCTTGTTTCACATAATTTTTTAAATGTAATTTAAGTATTGATTTCAGAAATGAGAAAGTAAGACACAGCAACGAAGCCTCTGGTCCAGCAGCCATCAACCTTTTTCACCTCATGGCACACATAAACTAATTACTAAATTCTGCAGCACACCCAAAATATATTTTTTGCCAATCTGACAAAAGAGAATTAAAAAAAAAACACTAGGTATTATTTTGATTCATTCACACCAGATGGCCACTGTTGTATTGGTTGTTGTCATTTTTTTTTTTTTTTTTTTTTACAATTTAAAGGCAAAGAGGTCAGTGCCCCTGACTAAAATCATCTGGGATTGCATGTTTTTAAAATTCTGTCTGCTCACCGATTGAAAATTGCTGCTCTAGTCCATAATGCACTTCCCCTGCTTTTCAGTTTCATTCAATTTAATAAGTATTTATTTGGCATCTATTACTTATAATGTTCTATGCTAGGCATTATGTATAGGATTTGAATATTAATAAGTTCTCTACTCTCTAGGCTAATTCATTGCATTTAACTTATATTAGGCTAATGATACCCCCTGTGTTGGAAGGCAGTACCCTTAAGGGAATTGAGCATTTTCTAACAGCCAAAGCTATAAAACACAAAAGTGAGTTAATGCAAATGAAAATTGTGTAGTTTCTCCGCGGCTGGGAGCGGGAGCCCCTGCGCCGGACGCCGGCCAACCAGGCACCAGCAAGGAGGCGGGCGACGGGGCCCCTGGGGGGGTGGGTGCCCCTGAGCCTTCGACAGCTGAGCGCGGGCAATGGAGCCAAGGCCGGGGGCTGCTTCCTGGGCGGCACCATCCCAAGCAACAGGCTGAAGCAGCACAGGAGCCCGTGGAGAACAAAGGGGTGCCACAGGCCAACCTGATGAGCTCCCAGGACAAGGAGGAAGAAACCAAAGAAGATCTCAATGTGAAGAAATCAAGTGAGAGCAAAAGATAGTAAAATTACTTAAGAAAGAATACAAAGAAGTTCTTGAAAAATCAAAGACTAAGTCAGAACTCAACTCACCAGCCAACATTGCAACATAAATGCGTTTTTTAAAAAAAAGGAAAAAAAAGGACAGAATGTTGGAACAGCAGCGGCCAGGCCTAAAGTGGCCAGGCACAAGGCAGTGGCAGCCAGGCCTGGAACAGCAACGGCCAGGCCCCAGAGCAGCAGCAGCCAGAACCAGAGCATCAACAGCCAGCACTGGAGCAGCCAGACCTGGGGCAATAGTAGCCAGGCCTGAGGCGGAGGCGGCCAAGCCCAGGGTGGCCAGTCCAGGAACACCCAGACCCGGAGTGGCCGGGCCCGGAGAAGCCGGGGTGGGAGCAGCCAGACCCAGAACAGCAGTAGCCAAGCCCAGAGCATCCAGGTCAGGAGTGGCCAGGCTCAGAGTGGCCGGGCCCGGGGCAGCCGGGCCCAGAGCAGCTAGGTCGGGTGCGGCCAGGCCCAGAGCAGCGGCTGCCAGGCTGGGAGCGGCCAGGCACGGGGGAGCAGTTGGGTCGGGTGCAGCCAGGCCCGGAGCAGCGGCTGCCAGGCTGGGAGCGGCCAGGTCCGGAGCAGCCGGGTCGGGTGCGGCCAGGCCCGGAGCAGCGGCTGCCAGGCTGGGAGCGGCCAGGCCCAGAGCAGCAGCAGCCAAGTCCAGAGCAACTAGGTCGGGAGCGGCAGTGACCAGACCCGGAGCAGCTGGTTGTGGAACGAACCAGAGCAACAGAGGCCAGGCCCTGAGCAGCAAGGCCCAGAACAGCTTGCTCCTCGCCTGCCCCTGCCCCACGGCTGCCTCTCAGACATGGCTGGAAACTTTCGCGGGAACTTGAGGGTCTGCTGAATCAAGTGATGAAGCCTTAGATCTGGATGTGTTGAGTTAGTATAGGGCTGGGGTGTTGATCTGTGAGTGCCTTGGGTGGGGCATGGATGAGGCTAGTTGACCTATTGGGAAAGGTCTTTTGTGTGAAGTGACCTATTGGGAAATGTCTTTTGTGTGAAGTGTATCATTGGGCATGTGGAGGTATTATTGATATGAGAAAATGCTAAGTAACTGATTTACTATCTGAAAAGGGATTTACTATCCGGGAAAGGGAGGGAAGAAGAGACTGAACATGAACTGTGCACCTATGGATGAGGACAATGGGGGATGGGGAGGGGATGGAGGGTGGGGTAGGAACCTGGTGGAGGGGGGAAGAAATGAGGAACCTTTGTGATAATATGAACAATAAAGATTGATTAAAAAAATAAATAAATAAATAAATAAATAAAAAGAAAATTGTGTAGTTTCTCTCCTTGCAGATTTTAGATATTGCATTAATACAACAACAATGAATGCTTTTGTTACATTTCTGCCAGAAATCAGGGAACACCCCAAATGACTCCTAAAAGTCTTTTTCAGCCCTGCCCTTCAGTTTAAAATAAGCAATTTATGAACAGTTCCTGGTTTATTTATTACATACAACTGAGGGTTCACTCATAAGTCTTATCCATCCTATTAAATGCCCAAATAGAGCACAGAATAAAGCTTTTAAAATCAGACTACACAATGATATTGATCCTTAAAGGAAATGTCCTTAAAGTCATTTTTTTCCTCCACTTTATTATCTTTCTTTTTTTTTTTTTCTAAACATATTTTATGGATTTTGTACAGAGAAGAAGGGAGAGAGATAGAAAGTTAGAAACATCGACAAGAGAGAATCATCGATCAGATGCCTCTTGCACACCCCCA